AAGTATTTCATTTTGTCATAAGGAAGTCAACCCCAGTGATGAACCGGGACGAGGGGGGATACAAGCTCAGCCACGTTTGGGATTGCATTCTCGCCGCAAAAGCGCCACCTACATTGGCGTTAAATAGCGGCGAGTTGCAGAACTCCAGTCAGAAGCTCTGAGGAAGGTGTCTGATAGACATCGAAACGTAAGCAGGTGAGAACCTTACTGGTTGTGTAAGAAGAAAATTCTATACCCTAAGTATCTTCCAACCTGATGAAATTATTTACGGATATTTCATTTTGGACTGAAAAAAACTGTTACCAAAATTCTGCTTACAGTGAGTACTGTATTATGATGTCACGACAGTGTCGCAACATGTAATAAGAGAAGATGTGATGAAGGGATAGAATCAGAACAGGGCGAGATTTATTGCTATTTTCGTTTGTTGCTACACTATGTTCTTTTATTCAATTTGCGCCCTAACCTTTGTATTTCAACAGTTAGTATATTCCAAATCTATGCATCTTAATCAGTTTTTTTTCGGCCCTTCGTGTATCTTATCGCGCTTTGGCAATAAATTCAAGGTCATCCATAAAAATTACTTGGTCTGGCCTTACAATTCAGGGAATGACTTGATGCATGTACAACCCCCCCCCCAAGTAATTATTGGACAGCCCCTCAATTGTAAGCAATTGATTACAGTTGGGAGACCAGCTGTCCCCATCTGAATCAAAGTAAAGGTTGGTGGGGGGAAGACCATTATATATGTAACACAAAAGGTCGACTGCAGCGACATAGGGACCCCCCACGAGACCTGTTTTCGAACTCGACCTTGGCCTCTACAATGGTAGCTGGCCTACCAAAATCATGAACATCTATTTAAATATACTCGAGTTATTTTGCTCACAAGCCACAAACACAAAAGGTGCACTAACGTGACGTACAGACCCCCACAAAGCCCAGACTTGTACGTGTCTTCCGCCTCAACAACGGTAATCTGCCTGCCAAAAATCATGGACGTCGAAACATGCCTTCAAGAGTTATATCGATAAATCCGCAGTCACCCACAATGCGGCGAGACAATTTCATAGTCTTTCTGACGAAGACAAATATATCGTCCCTAGTTCTGCGCATGGCGATTTGCTGGTCCCTACCCATATGAGGCAACAATGGCCCTGGGGTGTAGGGACCGATTTAGCCAGGCGTTGCTGGAACCCTCCCTTGTGACCGCGTCGGCCAATCAGATCGCTGGTTTTCGCAAATCTTTCCTTTAAGCAGCCATTTATCTACTAGCCTGGTTACCAAACCTATCATAGCTCCCGAGTCCTACATCCTCTATTTGCGGAGAGGATGTAGGACTCGGGAGCTATAATAGGTTTGGTAACCAGGCTATTTATCTACCCCAGAATCTCGTTAAATTTCTCTAAAATGGGATAATTGTGTGTGAAAGTTCAGAGTTGCAACAAACTGTTGAAGAGACATTCCTTCGTCGCCTGAATCTGGCCACCCTACTTGGTACTGGGGTCATGAGGAGGTCATATGCCTTAGGGAGGAAAGACATGTATCCATGGTGATAATAGATACTCATTCTGGGGAGGGGGCGATAACATTGTGACTGCATTTCTTCCAGACCATTTGAAGTTAGTTACTTGGCGGATATGTGATTTGTGTATGTATATGTGTGTGTGGGCGCATTACTTCAAATTAAAGAGCTTAAATTAGAACGTCCTTCATTCAACACAACTCAGAACTATTTTGGCTGATGTTTTAAGACAGTGGGGCATAATTTTACCATCACGAAGATCTCTCAATTACATGTATGCAGAGAAGAACATGCAGACATAGATATTGTCTTACTTGCACCTAATGGGCCAATTTGGGGAGGGGGGGGGGCAACCCGGTATCTCCCCCTCATGACCATTGTTGCCATCCAACGCAGTTTTTAGGGCTTGGAAACCAGATTTTTCAAAGTCAATATTCTAGTCACCTATCTACATACTGAGTTGAAACCACACTATCCCAGTGTATATTGACCATCGATCATGGAGCAAAAATATCCAAATTTCTGACGGAAAAGGGTTACTGAAAGGGTGATTTTTAGAGTACCACACATAAGATGAAGGACTCATCTTGGGACTTGTATCTGCAGTTTTAAATACCCAAAGTATAAAATACTGATTGAAATGTACTAATGTGAAGTAGTATGTGTCAATATCATAAAGATTGCCTTATTCACAATATTTGCAGTTTTGCTGCTCTGAAATCGCATTTAATTCCTTTAAGCTGTTTTCAACAACCTGTTAGTTTATACATTTGACATTTTGATGACCAAAGACTTGAAAGATTACTGCAGCTAGGTGTTGTTGTTACAAATGACACTGCTACATAAATGTAAACATGTAATTGCTTTCTCTAGCCATAAGCTACGATGACATTGATACAAACTTGACTTTTTAACGTACCCATTGTAGATAGGTCCGGGTTCTCTACAAACATGTCTTCCGTGGCTGCTAAAGGGGTAGTTTCACGCGCGTCGATGACCTGTGACGTGCCTGTAGCTTTGTTGTATACGGTCATCAGAAAACCCCCTCCGAGCCCTAGAGACTGCGGATGTACCACACCCAGACAGAGGAGCGTCGCGATGGCGGCGTCCACAGCAGAACCGTTCACTAGAACGTCTCTAAAAATAAAAGATAATAAATAATAATAATAATAATAATAATAATAATAATAATAATAATAATAATAATAATAATAATAATAATAATAATAATAATAATAATAATAATAATAATAATAATAATAATAATAATAATAATAATAATAATAATAATAATAATAATAATAATAATAATAATAATAATAATAATAATAATAATAATAATAATAATAATAATAATCCAACGCATCCAGTGCAGTTTTTAGGACTTAGAAACCAGATTGTTTAAAGTCAATATTCTATTCACTTATGTACATACTAACTTGGAACAACACTATGTATATCGACATTCATGGAGCAAAAATGTCCAAAATTCTGACGAAAAACGGTTACTGGAAGGACCCGGATAGGATTTTTAGGGTGCCACCAGGAAAATAAAGGACTAATTTTGGTTCTTGTTTCTGCAGTTTGAAAAGCCCAAAGTATGAAATACTGACTGAAATGTGCTAATGTGAAGCAGTATGTGTCAGTACCACAAAGATTACCTTTATTCAGAATATTTCCAGTTTTGCTGCCCTGAAATTGCACTGGATGCCTTACAGGACAGACGTCACATTTGCGTTGCGCAGTGGAAGACAAAAAATGGGAACACGATTGTAGTGCCTAGTTAATACCTTTGAAACCCTTTTTTTCTCATGAAAGTTTTGGTCCATTTTGGAGATTTTTGGGCTGGAAGACACAGGTAGGGTCTAAACTTTCCTACATTGGTAAAGTTTTGTTTATTTCACCAGTTTAGTGGGCGTAATGAGAGATGTGAGTGGTTAGGTCTTGTCTGGCCTGTGCGGATGGATACCATGGAAAAATTAGGTCAAAGTTGAGGTTTGTTTACTATCCTCAGCTGTGGCGGGAATTTGACCTGGCGGACCCCTGTTTTCTTTCTACATGTGGGGATTAAACCCTTGTGGCTATTTGGTGCAGAAGAATTTTTGAGATTGAAGTATGGGAAAGTACTTTCATGAGGACTTCTATTAGTGTATATATTTAAGCATGTGTTCCTATGGCCAGATTTAACAGTACTGTCTGCCCTACAGGCAAATGATCCCATTATCTCATTATCACACACCGCCATAGTACATTTTGGTCCGAAAACAGCCCATAAGCAAAAATTAAGTAACTCCAAAAGCCTGTATTATCATAAGTATATAAAGAAAATGCGAGGACGCCTGGTTGAATTTGTTCACTCTAACTGCATACGGAGTTTCCGGTCATTTTCGCCCCCCAAAAAGGAAGAAATTGAGTCTATCTATCACAATTGAAGGAGAGAAAAAATGGACAAGGAAACATGAGTAAAACAATATACTAAAATTTACATACGAAAACGAAATGAAGTACGTACGATTCAACAACAAAATGCTACAATCGGCAGTTTCTTAGAAGAGTCGGTCTGGAATAGCCTCTACCAGGCCTCGGGAGGCGGCTGGAAAGAGTATAAATCGGTCAAATAGAGGGATAACATGCCAGGGGAGTTTTTTTGATAGGAGAGAACATTTTGCCGCACCCGGCTTTACTCCCCTGGCATGTTATCTTCCTCTATTTGGCTTATTTCTACTCTTTCCAGCCGCCTCCCGAAGCCTGGTAGAGGCTAGGTCTGAAAACCGGATCCACAATATTTTCCCATGGGACTAATAATTAGCGTACCTGCCGATCTGTGAGCACACGGCTGAGTCGGAGGCTACCGCGCCGTGGTTGTACGGTCCTCCGGCGGCGTCCCTGTCAGAAGGCCGGGCTCCATGGCACAGTCTTCCCGCTAGATTCTCGCTGGGACTTTGTCTTTGGTAGACTTGGACAAGAAAGGCTATAACTAAAGCTACAGCAGCGACAGACAGGTGCTTCGCTATAGCCTGCATGTTTCCTTCAGGACTAGTTCCGGATAACCTCTGAACTCTGACCACCATGTACCATCTAATTACCTACCTACCCATCCAATTAATCTGGTTCTTAAAGGCATCCAGTGCAGTTTTTAGGGCTTGGACACACGATGTTTTTCAAGTCAATATTCTAGTCACTTATCTACATATTGAGTTGAAACTATACTCTCTTAATGTAGATTGACCAGCATGGAGCAAAAATATCCAAAATTCTGACGGAAAATAGTTACTGGAAGGGCCCTTGGCTGATTTTTAGGGTACCACCCATAAAATAAAGGACTCATCTTGGGGCTTGTTTCTACAGTTTTAAGTACCCAACGTATGAAATAATGATTGAAATGTGCTAATGTGAAGCAGTATGTGTCAATATATTGCCTTATTCAGAATATTTCCAGTTTAGCTGCTCTAAAATCATTGCGAATGTATGGCTTCACTTAAAAGCAAGCTGTAATATTTGTTCGTAGCCACTCCCATGTCACAGATGATACGTCGACGATTTAATTATGGTTGTCTGAACTTGTTAGACTTCATTCCATTATGCGCGATGACTTTCATGTCCAAATCGAAGCCGGATCAGAGCGAATTTAATCGGTTCGATTCGTACAATTCTCTCCTAGGCCACACCAATTTAATTTCGTGGTTATCGGATTCGCCCGCTTCATTTTTTTCTGATTTGCAAATAAAAATAAAAATAAAATCCAGAATCAACTGCAAAATGCTCATATTTTGCCCTGAACAGTTGAAAACAGTCCTTTTCATCCTAGTTGTTACAGTTATTCTATCTTTCAATGCAATGGTATCATTAAAAGTTCAAAATTCATTGGTTAAATTATGAACCAGCCTGGTGTGTTGACTTCATGGCTCCTATCGTACCATTTTGGGCCATAATAGTATGCCTAGGCCTTTTTTTATTTTTATATTTTTTCACCCGCCCGCTCCATTATTTTCCTAGAAAAATCCGTTAACCAAGAAATTAAATTGGTGTGGCCCTAGTGGGAAATTCGCCTTTCGTTCCTCTGCTCTAGTGACCCCTGAACTCTGACACTCATCTAATCATCCCCGAACCATATCAAAGCTCTGAAGAAGTTGTCTGCACATTGTGTAGAGTGGTAGTACCTATTGTTGGACATAAACCCACTCTGGGCGGTGGGATTCAAACCCCCAACCTGTCGATGCGTGAAAGGCCTAATACTTAGTAGTTGTTTACCCAAGTAGACGGTTGCACCATGCAAAACTATACTCTATGCTTCACTGAAATGTGATGTTTGTTCGTAGTCACTCCCATGTCAGAGGTCACACAGGACATCTTAACACTTTCTCTTGATTAGCTAAACTGGTTAGACTTGTTTCCTAGCCGCGACATGTGATTCTATGGGGGATCGGCGCCGAAATACTACCAACACCTCCTTTCCCTTTGTGGCTCCCAGGTGGGGATATATTTACTGTACAGATTCTAAATCTATGCAGAAGGTTTGCCAATCTACATTGAGACATTAATTATTTACCCATAGTGTTTAAAGTAGAGACGTTATTACTCAATGACATAAACTGGCGGTTAAAGGTGTTACATGTGCTATCATGACTGTTTGAAAAGACTAGAATTTAGGGTCGTGTGGCGAAGCGGCAGAGTGCTCGACTCGGAACTAAGAGGTCATGGGTTCGAGTCCTGACATGCCACCGATCTTGTGCCCTTGGGAAAGGCACGACTTTTACACTACTTTCCTCACTTCGCTCAGGTGAAAATGAGTATTGTCTGTCCTGTATTCGTTTCTATGTGTGGGACACAACAACAGCTGCCTATGTTCCGCGTGTATTGCACTGTTGCAATTTCAATAAATCAAGTAAAATTAAAAGACTTGAACAGTTTAAGGCCGTCAGCAGCCGCCACACCACGTCGGGTGTTTGTGTTAGACATGTGCCTGTCCCTAGAACACGGGACTTCAACTTTAATCTCCAATCTTGTGGGGCCGTGTGGCGTAGCGGCATTGTTACATTTTCTTATTGTTTGAACTATTATGATTCCTAACAAAAGAGATGTGACAAGCCTTTTGATAATTTCTATTTGGGACTGCGATAGCTCAGTATTGTCAGTTAACAAATTTTATATCATATATAGAAACACTTTACATTTGGAACCACATATGTCCCTATGATGTAACAATGCCTAGTATGTATGTAATAACTACACTACGTTCAGAAATGCATTGTAATCAGTAAAAACTAGCTTAAGTATCAACGGTATGCCTAAATACCTCAACCGACCGCAACCGACCGCGTAATGGGTTAATATGCAGTATACATGGGCCAACAACCCTTTCCAACGCTCTGGATACATTGTTTATGCTTGTATGAATGAAAAAAAAAACACTGTAACTCTGACGTATTTGCCAGTTTTTAAAAGTTATTCCTCTGGTTTCACGTTCCGCGGAGCGTTCCTCCTTGAGGTCAATGGAGGTCAAGCCGGTAGGCGTACGTGCTAAGCAGCTTGGATGTCAGACTGGAAAACACTCGGTATATAGCTATTATGAGATGGTTATGGTAGTATTTGTGCTTTACTATGATTTATAAACCAACATCTTTGCGTTCTGTTGCCTGTACTGAAGCAAAAGGTGTACAGAGATTCCGCATGCAGGCCCAAAGATATCGATCCAACAGACCAGAGGAATAACTTTTAAAACTGGCAAATACACTGTTTTTTTTTCATTCATACAAGCATAAATAATGTATCCAGAGCGTTGGAAAAGATTGTTAGCCATGTATACTGCATATTAACCCAATAGGCGGTCGGTTGCGGTCGGTTGAGGCCGGTTGAGGTCGGTTGAGGTCGGTTGAGGTATTTAGGTAGACCCAAGTATCAAACCTTGATACGTTACAGTGATTTGTATCGTAACGTCTAAAAACTACCCTTATTTTATGATCTTCCTTTAATTCAACCCTGTTTCTGAAACGAAAGGTAATTTTTCTTAATACCAACATTTCATGACCAAACATGGCGACGGCACACTCAATTTATATCAACTTATTTTATGCCGCCACCAACACAGAGTACAAATACGGGACAGGAAAGTACTGATTTTCACTTCAGTTAAGTGAAGTCGTGTTAAGTGCCATTCTCAAAGGCACACGATCGGTGTCATGTCAGGACTCGAACCCAAGACCTCTTGATTCCGAGTCGAGCACTCTGCAAAACACTCTGCCGCTACGCCACTCGACCCCACGTCGAAAGGTAATAGACTCTGGCTGTAGCCAAGGCGGGAGGAGTACCAATATTTTGACACTTTCCCTTGTTTCTTTCATGCACTCCAGGCCGATTTATAGAACCTGTCGAAGGGTAATTAACCTCTTGACCCCCTCCCCCCATTATGGACGCACAACACAGTTTTAGCCCTACGGGGATTTCTATAGTTAAGGACCCCAAAGTGACTCACTAAAAATTATAGTAGGGTGCACAAGCAAAGTTCAAAATTTTATATGTTTAATTTCAGAGTGTAGTGTACAAAATGTGTGAAAATGAGCTTAGATTTGCCGGCTTGTTCTCTTCTCATGCCCTCTTTTATTAGCGCCACTGCGGAGGTCATGGAACTGCAGACGATGCACAGTACTAGTCGGTACAAGTATCCAAGCGCAAATGTATGCCGACTGAACACGCACCATAATTCAACTTTTACAATCTCAAAACTGACGTATTCCTCTAACATTTACCACAGGTTCTATCTCGATGCCATGCACAAAACAATCTCTGCACCCTTCTCTAGTATTATGCAGCACTACTTTGTGCCCGGACTACTTTTGACTACTGGGTTCGCCCATAAATACTGTGTTGTGCGGCCTTCATAGAACCTGTGGAAGGGTAATTAACCTCTTGACCCCTCCCCCATTATGTACCTGTAGTGACACAAGTGGTCACCTGTTTCGCCATAGCTTGCGAACAGATCTCCAAACACGTGATATAAGACAATACTTTCCATGAAAACGTAAGAAAACACTGTTTTAAATGCAGTGATATAAGACAGCACATTCCATGAGAACGTAAGAAAATACTATCTTAAATGCAGTTTTCAGTTTTTAAACCGTGACACGCACGCACATGTAATTATAAAGAAAGTGTAGCTTGAAGCGAAATGCAGACAATCTCCACAGCGCCTACGGCGTCGATTAGTCAATTTGACCACGCACACGCGATCATCTTCGAGCTTCAAAACATAATGCGGTACGTAAACTGATAGATTTGTTTGATATGTTTAGAAATAGTCGTCCGATGCAAGCATGGAGTCTGTCACCGTCCGAGGCGTTGTCACAATCACGCTACTTGCTGCTGTGATCAGTCTACTGCTGAAGGAATGGCGCCAACGGCAAGACGCGACCGCGGCCGCGAGACCACCGTGCCTGCGTCCCCAGCCGGGCGGGCTGGACCTCACCGGAGGCCCGTACACACACGGGGCGGTCGCCGCTGACGCACTGGAGTGTTCTACCATAGGCAGGTACGTGGTGACTGGATTCTATATAATCAATGATTGTTGTTTATGGCATGCAGTTTTGTGTTTATACTGTGGCACTTCGCACCAGGATCTATTAATGCAAAATACCAGTCCTCTTGTTTATATCTTGTTTAAGAACAAGATATAAACAGAATGCACAAAAGTAATGTTATCTGACAGTATGTCATCTGTGTTTATTTTGTAGGGACATTCTAAAGAAGGGCGGTTCGGCTGTGGATAGCGCCATCGCGGCGTTAGCCTGTGTGGAGCTGGTACACGGCCACAGCGCGGGGATCGGCGGGGGTTTAATCATGACAATATACAACAAAGAGACAGGCACGGCCCAGGTCATCAACGCACGTGGAAATGCCCCATCCAGAGCCTCCACACACATGTTTGGAAGTAACAACATCAGTGCATCTTTTGGTGAGGCAGGAAAATAGTCGGTAGTCTCTACCAGGCTTCGGGTGCGGCAAACAGTCCTCTCTCTCGGACCAACTCCCCTGGCATGTTATCTCTCTATTTGACCGATTTCTTCTCTCCAGCCGCCTCCCGAAGCCTGTGAGAGGCTAAATAATCGGTGCTGTTGGGGGTATATAGCCTCTAGGCCAGACATTGCCAAAATCACCGGAATCATGTCAAAATTTATGTTGCTAGTCACACAAGCAAATGACGTACTATTTGAGGTTTTATGATGATACATAACACAGCACAGTTAAGTATTAACAGCTAAATTAAAGTTGTCGAGTTGTAGGTAAAACTCATGATCAAGTTTATCACTGCACGAAAACCGATATTTAAGCATGCTTCATGGTGTTCGTAAACAAGGCTCAAATATTTCAATATAATTAAGCAGTATTTAAGTCACACTTAAGCCATCGTAAATGCCACAGTCTTTACACTCTTTTTATGAACAACGTAAAGTCTACTTAAACATAAACGTATCCTTACTTGATCTTTAAGCTCGCTTAATGTTGCAGTAAAGTACTGATTTGCACAAGAATTGTAGGAGCAACAAGGCAGGACAAGGCAGCTGCTCTATTCACCAATTTCACACTTCCCATAATGCCTAGTAACGGTTACGGATATGACGTAAGACCACCCCCCTCCTCGATGTAATATTTCCGACAAGTTCTATCGACAAACTGGTCAACTATTGTTTTGAATTATTTATCTAGTATAAAGGGCATGCCATAATTGCATTTTTGTTGGAATTAGAGAAAATGACGTACCTTCTATCGTTCTAATATACGTAATGCGACCGTGCGAGTAGGAGAGTCTTCGGTAGAAGGTAGAACGATAGAAGGTACGTCATTTTCTCTAATTCCAACAAAAATGCAATTATGGCATGCGCTTTATACTAGAGAAATAATTCAAAACAATAGTTGACCAGTTTGTCGATAGAACTTATTGGAAATATTACATCGAGGAAGGGGGAGGGTGTGGTCTTACGTCATATCCGTGACCGTTACTAGGCATTATGGGAAGTGTGAAATTGGTGTATTATGTGTTCTGCAGGCGGGCTGGCTGTGGCCGTACCGGGCCAGGTCCGGGGGTTCTGGGAGGCGCACCAGCGGCACGGGAAGTTACCGTGGAAGGACCTGTTCCAACCGGCTATACAGATGGCTGAACAGGGCTTCTGTATCGGCCGGCCGTTGAACAAGGCCATCAGTAAGAACCTAGAGTTCATCAGTGATCCAAAGAACCACTTGTGGTGAGTCAGAGACAACCTTGCTGCCAGAGCGCCCAGTTATCCATGCTATAACATGTCTAACAAGTCCTGTACTTTTAACTTAGGTTTATTTGCGTTACACGGCCGCGAAGATGTCAATTACTATATACGAAAATCCTACTCTTCTTGTCTTATCTGGCTTCACTCAATAATGCCTTTGATGTTTCTTTAACCCTATCTAGACTGGGGAGGGGGGCTAAAAGTGCCCACGCCAACTTTGATGTCGAATAACGTCCGAATGGCGTGGGCTAGGGTCACCAGACTTGGTGAATTTTTCTAAAAATATTCATGCCAACAATTTTATAGCAGTGAGATAGATTAATATTTTTCGTGTTGCCATGGCAACGGGTTTCTGACAAGTATTTATTTTGCAAAAATCAGTAATTTTGACTTTAAAAATGCAATTTCAGGCTTTTATGTTAACTTACACATGCTTTCTGGCATTAATGAAATCTTATATAATGTTATGTAATTTTTATTAATAATTATGCGTAAATTATGCTAATTTGATGACGTCATTGACCAAAATCCAAGATGGCGGACCATATCTTTAGATCAGGTAAATTCCGGCTATTTTCCTAGGGTTGTCTACCTTTCCCGGACTTATAGATGAAAGAACGTTTAACCAAACGCGATGAAGGGCCAGTGTTTAACGTGTCTTCACCTTTCCCCCATCCAGTGACGTGTTGTGCGACGAGAACAACAACGTCCTGGGTGTGAACATGACGATGAGGCGGCCCAGGCTTGCAGAAACGCTCCGTGCGATTGCCGATGGAGGTGCAGACGCCTTCTACACCGGCCCGATCGCCAGGAACCTGGCAAAGGACATACAGGACGCAGGTTTCCAGCTTACATCTCACTTCAGATGGACAAACTCAAACACACGTATTCCCAATGATAGCATGATTTTAAAGCCGTCACACCCTTTGGTCGAAGTCCTTGTTGACCCAAACTGCAGGCTATGTCAACAAGGTCTTCTTCATCTGCCAATCAACATCTTAACATGACACGGACATTTGACCTTGATACTTGACCTCGAAACTTTACCTTCATATTGGTCCTTCACATGTGACCCTGATATTTGACCTTGACAAGAGTCAATTGACATATCCGTAGCACTAGGCTGATAGCGGTGATAGTTGTGATATGCTTGTGCTAAAGCCTGATCATGAGTAACGCAGTCTACGACTAAAAGCAGTTACTCAAGCAACTGGATATGACTTTGGAAACGGTCAGACGTTTTAGCTAGTATCCACTAGCTTTCGTCAGTGACTGACTGACCAGCTGGGTGATTGTGTCACTGACGAAAGCTACTGGATACTAGCTGAAACGTCTGACCATTTCTAAAATTATATCCAGTTGCTTGAGTAACTGCTTTTTGGCGTATCTTATTATAATACCTGGATGTCTAACCTTCATCAACGCTGTCTACGGTTCCACACATCATGTGAAAATACTTTTAAAACCTAGTCGTTTATCGCATCCGTTGCCTATACTGATATAATGTAAACCTTTCCCACGAAGCATTGACACATTCGAAATTGACACAGAAAAAATGCTGTTCATTTCTGACCTTGTACTGACTTTGTATCTTTACAAGGGGGCATCATCACTGAGCAAGACCTCCGTGACTATCAGGTGGAAGTTTCGGACCCGCTGAAGATTTCCCTAGAGGGTGGACTGACGGTGCTATCCCCGCCTCCACCGGGAGGGGGCGCTGTTTTAAGTCTCATGCTCAACATCTGGGACGGTGAGAAATAGTTACTGCAGTATTGATGTTAGGGTTAATGTTTAGGGTAAGGTTGTAGTAGTAGTAGTTGCAGCAGTAGTGTAGTAATGATAGTAGTAGCAGCAGCAGCTGCAGCTGTTATAGAAGTAGTATAAGTAGTAGTAGTAGTATAAGTAGTAGTAGTAGTAAGTAGTAAGGAGTAGTAGTAGTAGTAGTAGTAGTAGTAGTAGTAGTAGTAGTAGTAGTAGTAAGTAGTAGACAGTACATTTTGTAGTAGAAGTAGTAGTAGTAGTAGACAGTACATTTTGTAGTAGAAGTAGTAGTTAGTAGTAGTAGTAGTAGTAGTGGTAGTAGTAGTAGACAGTACATTTTGTAGTAGAAGTACTAGTTAGTAGTAGTAGTAGTAGTAGTAGTAGTAGTAGTAGTAGTAGTAGTAATAGTAGTTGAGTAGGTATTAATAATAATGGTAGTGGTTTGTTTCAATTTTCAGGACTGTTGCAATGCAAAGAATTTCTTTCGGAACAATGCATTTTGGTAGTATTAGTGGTAATGGTAGTATTTGTAGCACTAGGCTGATAGCGGTGGTGGTTGTGGTAGGCTGGTTTGTTTAATTTTCTAGGCCGGTTAAAATGTAATGAAGAGTACAGACAAACTTCTGGACAAAGCATTTTTAAGTGACCACTTTTTTCATTGGGAGTGGTGAGGCCATCTACATCAGGGCATTGCAACCATCCCTCAACAGAGACGGGGGGGGGGAGCCACAGACTTTCTGCAACCTATGATCTACTGCTCACGGAGTCACGTGTGTTATCTGAGTGACGTCACGGAAGCGATGGATTGCTCATTCCTTGACAAAGACTGGAGTTGTACAGTCGAAATTTTGGTGAGTCTAATTTGTTGTGTTGGAAATTGCAGTTTAAATCTGCTTCATAACACTTGTTTCCATATGCAGGTTACGGTCTGAACGCCTCCAGTGTGGACGGGGTTGATAACCAGGTCCTGACGTACCACAGGATGCTCGAGGCCTTCAAGTTCACATTCGCCAGAAAAACGGAGCTGGGCGATCCCAACTTTGTTGACGTGAAGGAGGTGAGGAGATGTCTCCTAGTAACCCTTCTAGTGGGGTCGTGTGGCGTAGCGGCAGTGTGCTCGACTCGGAACCAAGAGAGCATGGGTTCGAGTCCTGGCATGCCACCGATCTTTTGCCCTTGGGAAAGTCACTTTACACGACTTTTAAATGGGCTTCAGGGTAATGGGCTCCACCTTCCAATACTTTGCCTTAGACACATTGTACTAGCAGCCCACTGCCCCTAAAGCCAAAAAAGGCCTCACTTTAAAGTTAGCCTTTCCTATACAGGTAGTAAAGAATATGACGCCCAGGTCTTTCGCCGAAATGGATACATGGCTTTGGTTGATGACGTAAAAGACATCGGAAGGAGTGGGATGGGCTCCGCCTTCCAATACACTTATCTAGACACATTGCAACGGCAACACACTGCCCCTACTGCCTTAAAAGACGCCGTGACTACCCTTCTTTACTTTTCTATATAGGTAGTGAAGAAGATGACGTCAAAGTCGTTCGCCGACTCCCTGAGGCAGCGGATCAGCGACACGGAGACGCACGACTGGCGGTACTACGACCCGGTGTACTACGTGCCTCAGGACGGCGGGACCACCCACGTGTCGGTCCTGGCGCCGGGCGGAGACGCCGTGTCCGTCTCAAGCACCATCAACAGATAGTAAGAAGTAGTCTGTTACTTTTTTATTATCATGTTTACCGAAGGAAAACATATTGTTTTTGCTCTGTTTCCTCTTCTTCTTCCTCTCCAAACCAATAAGGTTAATGACCTGAACCATACGTCTGTCACCATGGTAACTAGTGTTGGGTTACATCATGTTACAATTTTATAGCAGGAGGGATTTAGACTCCTGTCTGACCATATATATACAATCATATATATATATATATATATATATATATATATATATATATATATATATATTCACACACACACACACACACACACACACATATATATATATATATATATATGTGTGTGTGTGTGTGTGTGTGTGTGTGTGTGTGTGTGTGTGTTTGGGTAAGAATATCTATTAACAGACCAGAAAATATGCGAAGGTAAACATTATGCATTTGCTTTGCAAATGTTTCCTTTCTAGTTTGCCCTGAGAATGAAAGCTAAGGGATTTGGAATTCATAATGCTAGACACACATCTCTATTCATATTGGAGACCCGGCCGGGCGCTGACCAAAAATAACAAAACACAAACACACGTATCATCGAGAGGTTAGCGTTACCAACGTTAATCTCCATACCAGTGCAAATTTCCGGCAAAAGTTTGCGATTGCTGATATACACATGATCTTCTATCTTAACTATTACTAAGACAATGGGCATAAAGGTGGTAGTCTTATAGATAATAATGAACTTTGTTGCATATTCAAGCTCCGAAGGGCTCAATAACAGATTCTGTCTTCGTCGTGTGTTAAAAGAAAATAAAAACTTAAAGACAAAATAACTTGTTTTGTTCCCAGCTTTGGTGCCGCGTTTCGCTCCGCATCTACAGGAGTCATTCTGAACAACCTGATGAGGGACTTCAACTTTCCGGGAATGAAAATACCCTATTACCTTCCTGGATGTGCAGGTAATCCAAACTGTCTCAAATAAAGTCTCCCTTACTTGCAATGAGATACAGAGTTTCAGTGAATGTGCAAGAAATGCAGAATTATAAAAAGTAAAGAAAAAAATATGCTAGCCCCCTCCTGTAGTTTTGCTTTGTGGCCCAATGACTATGTAGAAACGGTGATGGGGCCCTACATACATCAAAAGGCCAGGAAATAGTTTTTACTCACTTGTAACTAAGTAACATGTACGTAGAATACCTGTTTCCGCTAGTATTTGGTTTGGGGAGATATGTATCCGAGAATAGAGCTGTATTGCCCGTGCTAGAGAGATGTTGGAGAGGCGTAATTCCCTTTGCCGCACTAAAGAACCTCAACACGTGTAAAAAAAGTCCCACTCCAAATAATAATTATAACTTTATTTGCAAAATCATGCCCGAAGGCGTATTGATTTTACAATCAAGTATAATACTCATTGCAATACAGTAACAGGAGACAGGTAACAACTGTCTGGAAAAAACTTCTACTTCTACTACTACGCTAGCTGTTATGGGGTTCGACTTCTTCTTTGAAGGCAGTGGATAATAATAACCGCTGCCGCTCTTGGATGTCTGCAAAGGAGTCTAACCAGGCTATGACTGAGTGTCAGCCTTTGTAGCTTTTGTCTGCTCCCCAAGATCCGCTACTGCCACTAGCCGATCGTGGGGAGCAGATCGACGAAAGATAAAAAGGCTGACACTCAGGCTAAACAGGAAAGTTAAATCTTCACCAGAATATCATGAAAGTTCATCTGTATTGTTAGTTACAAATATGTTTAAAGTTAAAACTTTTGTTCCAACACAAAAAATTCTCTCACCAAGAGCTTTCGACCAGTCACTCTGGTCTTCCTCAGTAGACTGACCCAGTGAAGCTTGTCACGTGGCTTCTTTGAAGTTTGACGTCAACACTGGGTCAAAGGTACCCGGTAGAAGGGTGTCTGGGTGAAGGAAGCCGTATACATCAGGGCCCATCACCCTACATTGAACCGCGACGGGGGTCGACATCGTCTACCAGATACCTTTGACCTAGTGTTGACGTCACACTTCAAAGAAGCCACGTGACAAGCTTCACTATGTCAGGCTACTGAGGAAGACCAGAGTCGACCAGGTCGAAAGCTCTAGGTGAGAGAATTTTTTTGTGTTGGAACAAAAGTTTTAACTTTAAACACGCATCATCAGAATGTTCGCTACCCTCCCGTCCCACAGCGAACTTCATCGAACCAGGCAAGCGGCCGCTGTCGTCCATGTCTCCCTTCATCGTGCTGAACAGCACCGGTGACGTCAGGCTGGTGATGGGGGCAGCCGGAGGGAATAAAGTGGAGACGGCCTTAACATTTGTGAGACACTCATGGATTTCTTGCCACTACTTAGTACTTAGAATATAGTAGAAGGGAATCATATTCAAGCTAACCGACATCTCGCAAACGCAGTCGCCCCCCAGTAAGACATCTAGAGCCGCATAATTCCCGTTTGGAACTTTTATTCAGCCTGTCACACGACCGGTTTCACCTGTGTGGCTTCTTCAAGTGTACAAAGGCTAAAGACAAGTTGAATAAAAGTTCTAAACGGGAACTTTATGCTGCTCCAGATGTCTAAATGAGGGATGACTGTGTGTGCAAGATGTCGGTAAGCTTGAGTATTTTTCACCTCTACTACACACTACTTAGTACTTATTAATTACTCTCTTCGTCCCTAGCGAGGCATACGGCAATGCCTTTTTCACCTGGTGCACAAAGCTATTTTAACTGCCCAGTGTCTTTCGTTCTCCAAATATCCGATTTGTCAGAAGCGTCACAGCACACCCACATAGAGTCACCTGGGTATTTTGTTTCACTTGACACTGTAAGAATATTGGACACTGAAAAAGACTATTTCCTGAGAGGGGTGAAAGAAGCTATTTACATCAGGGCCCATCACCCTTCACTTAACCGCGACGGGGGCCGAAATCGTTTACCAGATACCTTTGACCCCGTGTTGACGTTACACTCCAAAAAGCCACGTGACAAGCTCCACTGGGTCAGTCTACTGAGGGAGACCAGAGTGACTGGTCGAAAGCTCTAGGTGTGAGAACTTTGGATCGAAAGTTTTGCTGTGTTGGATCAAAAGTTTAAACTTAAACATATCCTATTTTCTGTTTGAATAGGCGGCAATGCATTACCTCCGCTTCGGCACGAGCCTGGCGTCAGCGATAGAGCTGCCCCGTCTGCACCACGCCCTGATGCCTCACAAGTTCTACACTGAGGGGGAAAGGCCATTCGAACCAAAGGTCAGCGTGCACCCGATACACACACACACTAACGTTTACAATAGTAACTGGATTACGGTGTTCACCATTATTCAGTTATTTACTGGGCTGAAATGTCCTCCCCAAAGGACAGCGTGCACCAGATACACACACTAGCGTTTACAATAGTAACTGGATAACGGTGTTCACCGTTAGTCAGTAATAGCTGGGCTGAGATGTCCTCCCCAAAGGACAGTGTGCACCCGATACTCACACACTAGTGTTTACAATAGTAACTAGATAACGGTGTTCACCGTTAGTCAGTAATTACTGGGCTGAAATGTCCTCCCCAAAGGACAGCGTGTACCAGATACACACACTAGCGTTTACAATATAATTGGATAACGGTCTTCACCATTAGTCAGTTATTTTACTGGGCTGAAATGTCCTTCCCAAAGGACAGCGTGCATCAGATACACACACTAGCGTTTACAATAGTATCTGGATAACGGTCTTCACCGTCAGTCAGTAATAACTGGGCGGAGATGTCCTTCCCACATCCTGAGAGAAACACTGGTAACACAGCGGTAACACAGCTGTATTCATGTTGTGTTTGGGAGGACAACTTGTAAAGGTGTCAATACACCTGTTTTGTCCTCCCTTCCACTTGTATCTTTGTACTTGTGGTGAATTGTGGTGAAAACAAATAAACAGTACTAATGATTATTTTTTTAAACTTTATTTTGTGTTTTGTCTTTTATAATACTTTTTTGTTTCCGGGTCCGGGTCTTCTACGCCTGGTGTCTACACTTTGATAGACGAACATGGAGCTAGCAATATACAGCCTCTTTGGAACTTTGTCCCTGGAATTTCTGCAAGATGTACAATAGCAAAGTTCTTTCATCACAACCATTTATTTTTTACGAGCCGACATTTCGATGACCGTCTGTCATCTTCATCAGGGCAATTCTGACTGGTTTACTGTGCACTGACGTGACACTAGATGTTACTTGATGCAGAGTGCACTAAAGGTGTTACATAGTTCACTGTTGTATTATGTAACAATGCCCATGTATGTCACAATTGCACTATGTTTGGATATGCATTGTTAACAGTAAAAACTAGCTTAATTTTTTTTTTATTCCGTAACTAGCTTAATTGCACTGTGAACCAAGTAACAGTGCACTGTGAACCCTGTAACACCCTTAGTGCACTATGCACCATGTAACATCTAGCGTCAGTGCACAGTAAACCAGTCAGAATATCTAATAACTTTGCTATTCATTTGTTTACCAACCTGATTGAATTATTTAAAGATTTACAGTTTTTTTTCTTCTTACTGCAGGAAGTCGTTGATCGCCTGTCAGAGATGCACAAGACGAGGAACTCCAACACCATAGCCGTGCTGCAGGCCGTCATACAGGAGGGTACTGCGATATTCGCACACTCAGATTCAAGGAAGGACGGACACGCAGCAGGCTTCTGATTGAAAGTAATAAAACCAGAAACTTTCGATCTAGAAAAAGTCATGAATAAAATTCAGAATTACGAAGGCTCTTGTCAAACTGTGCACCTGTATAGCCGGTATAACCGCCCTTCGGCGTTACACACCAGCTTTGCAGGCACTTGGCGTAATTAACCCTTGAACGCCTAACTCTAAACACTGTTTAAAGCTATTTAATGATACACCTACTGTACTTGGTGACAGCGAGTTCCACTCTGCGATAGTTCTAGGATGAATTTTCGAACACCCCAATCCTTGCTTGATAACTCTAATACTTGAAGGCATTGCCCATTTCTTGTTTTTTACTGTGGAAATTTGCTATTCTATCATTCATTCACCAACCTGATGAAAATGTGTAGTAGGGTTCAAATAATTAAAATGATAGGCGGAAATGTAACAGAATAATTTGAATGCTTTATTGTTTAAGTCATTTTATTGTTCTTCGTGGGACTTTGGAGTTAACAAACAAGCGTGCATACATTGATCGGAATTTGAAAGTTGATTATCCTAACCTAATAGTTTCAAGTTAAAATGGATTTGCAGGTGCCTAAAATTACTGTTCAGTGGCCCGAGTACAAGATGATACTTCACCAGTTTATATAAAACCTCTGAATCATCTTTACCATATTTTAATGCACACAAGGAATAACATCTGAGCTCAGTTTGCTGATGTCCAAAAAGATAGACTAAGTTCATAGTTATATAATTATACCTCATGTGAAAGATGTGTTTCCAAAGATGCTGACCCCCTGACATATGCTTTTATCTACCGGTCTGTGCAATTACTACACTAATGATCCCTCATCAGTGGGAACCCACTGCAGGCTGTTTTTGTATAGACAACAAAACTGAAGGAAAGTGAGCACAAAATGGTGGACCAGCGTCTTTTGTGCATTGCTGCTATGTTAATTATTGTCCAGGGGCCGGGGTGCCATTTGGTATTTCAGCATGATTTTTAAAACCTCATCTTTATACCATATTTTATTGCAATGTTGAAGGGATCATGACCTCTGTTTGTTGATGCTTAATTAAACAGACCAAGGTTATAATTATATAATACCTCATGTGAAATATGAAGCTGATCCCATGACATGTGTTTTTTGTGAAGAACCATGTGCACAAAAAGGTTGACCAGTGTCTCTTTTGTGAATTACTGGTGCGTGAATCATATAATCCTATGACATGTGTTTTTTGTGAAGAACCATGTGCACAAAATGGTTGACCAGTGTCTCTTTTGTGAATTACTGGTGCGTGAGTTATATAATTACTGTTCAGTGGCCCGAGTACCAGTTGGCAATTCATCAGTTTCTATAACCTCTGAATCATCTTTACCATATTTTAATGCACTCAAGGAATAACATTTCACGTCAGTTTGCTGATGTCCCAAAAGATAGACTAAGTTCTTAATTATATAATTATACTTGAAAGGTATGAGTGTTTCTACAGAAGCTGATCTCGATCACACGTGGTTTTACTAGTCTATTCTTTATTTTCTTTTATTTCCTTTCAGTATATCCTCAAATCAACATTTACTATTACTTTTCAATATATTTGCGTCATAAGTTTGACGTTTCTTACGAAGATTTTGTGCGCACGTGCCTTCCTTGAGTTGCTCGACCAGTGTAGGGTGGTAGGCCCTCGATGTGGGTTAATAGCCTTTACATTACCAGACAACTCGAGCGGACTGTTTGTGTGCACAAAACATTCTTCAGAAATGTGACGAAGATGAAGAAAAGTGAAATAATGACGAAAATATGTTGAAACGTGATTATGTTGATTTAATATTTATCTGCCATCCACGTTCCGGCATGGCAACAGACATCTTTGCCCATCTTTGCCAGGTCAATAGTTCAGTGGGGTCGTGTGACGTGGCGGCAGAGTGCTCGACTCGAAATCAAGAGGTCCTGGGTTCGAGTCCTGACATGCCACCGATCTTGTGCCCTTGGGAAAGGCACTTTACAGGACTTTTCTCACTTCGCTCAGGTGAAAATGAGTCTTGTACTGTCCCGTGTTGGTGGCGGCATTAATATAAGTTGAAAACCACTTTAGTGTGCCGTCACCACGTCTTGTGAGTAGATGTTGGAATATAAAAAAAAATCATCAAGTTGGTACGTCACTGAATAAAAAGACTATTTCTACACAACCAAGTCTTTTATTCAGCCGAGGTTTCGGCAGAGGTGGCTGAAAAAAGACTTGGTTGTGTAGAAAGAGTCTCTTTACTTGTTCTCTGACCCTCTCAAACACTTTTAATTAGTAGCCTCCGGTGACAGGTGATTTTAATTAAAGGAGAAAAACAGTTCCTCGCACGAATGAGTGGTGTTAACACTAATGGTATCTGTCTTACAGACTACATTTGCTTGAAAGGGAAAGTTTGACCCTTCCAAGTTTGATCAATCACGTCTTTAAATGCCTCAGTCTCACTCACACAACTTTGGACAGGACGATCTATCCGGGGTAGGTGTAGCCTCTACCAGGCACCGGGGATCGCTGTAAAGATAGTAGAAATTGGCCAAAATAAAGGAATAATATACTAGGGGAGGTAGCCGGCCAGAGAAGATCTAATTTGCGACCCACGGAGCCTGTGCGGAGTCGCTACCTCAAACGATATAAAATTAATCCCCCCAATATTCGTACAAAGAACCTAAATCAGCACTGAAGATCAGTTAAGAAATAAACCCGCCAGCGCCCAGCGGAAACGCAGCCTGGTGTGTGTGCAGGGAAGTGGCTGTGTCTGTGGAGAAGGACAGCAAAACGCGACAAAAATAATTTTTTCATAATAATGCTCGTATTGTCGTACATGTATTGTCCCCAAAGCTTTGACTTACGAGAGATGACTGTTTATATTATATCCATATGTTCACAAGTACACTCCGCACAGGCTCCGTGGGTCGCGAATTAGAATCTTCTCTGGCGGGCTACATCGAGCTCCCCTGGTATATTATTCCTTTATTTCGGCCAATTTCTATTATTTCTACAGCGATCCCCGGTGCCTTGTAGAGGCTAGGGTAGGTGGACATTTGCGTTAACTTGGATTAAACAGATGATCTATTTGGGGGATATTTGGCCTGGGTATTTTAGTAGGGTTCTCCAGTTTTTTGAAAGTCTTGCAGATACGTTTCTGTTAATCCAGCTCTGATGTAACATGGCAGCTGGTCACCCTCTCAAACATTTGTAATTAGTAGCCTCCGGTGACGTGCTGAACTCAACTAGAAAATTAAAGGAGACAGTTCCTTGCACGTAGCTAGTATACTAGCTACGTGCAAGGAACTTGTGGTGATGTACGTGAGAAATCTTACATGAGCTACGTGAATAAGAAACAAAACAGGCACATGTTTGTCAAGATGTTTTCACCGTTCCTTCGTTCTTAAGTGCGATTCTTATAAGATGAAAGATGATGATAATCGACCCCTAATGTATTTCTCGAGTGACAACAGCGTCCTTTGTCAGTCCTTAATTGATGAACCGAGATGTAATGCCGCTTATTATGTTGCAGACTACATTTACCTGAGGAGGGAGGCCCGCTCTGCCAATCACAGAGTCCCACGTTCTCTTTCTAATGGCTCACTCTCACTCACACTTTTAGTGTGACGACCTATCCCAAGGAAGTGGATACAATAGCGCTGTTGCCCAGGGTAGCTGGACATATAGGTCAACTTAAAGAGATCTGTTTTTTTTTTATATTTGGCTTGGGTATTTTAGTAGGGCTCTTCAGTTTTTTTTAAAGTCTTCCGGAAACGTTTCTGTTGTCCGTGCTCGAAACACGCAGAAGAATAACCCCGGACGCCAGTCTTACCGTGATCGGCCTACTGAGAAATCCACGCGGTAAGTCGCAACTCTTGGGTAACATGGTCTAGCCTGAAGCAGGACTTGACACAGTTGATGTTTTGGATGTTGTATTTAGAAATAGTTTATGTACTGTGTATTTGTTGTGTGTATTTTTATGTGTATCCGGGATTACCTGAAAAGCAGGCCAAAATAGCCTGAGTTGTAATTACTGGTTAAATAAATTGAATTGAACTGGTATATATCCAGTCTTACGGGGGTGTTGGGGTGTTCAGACAGGCTGTGTCTTCGGTGGCTCTAATAGCTTCCCCCGCCCAGTGCAACAGGCCGTCCCGGTAGGTGTGTTACACTAATAAGAGACAGTATACAGTGGGATCAGAGCCTCAGAGGTCATGATCTTTGTGTTTCCATGGATCGTACTTATTATTGTAGCTGGTCAAAATGTGATATGTTTGGACTAAATGGACAATTTGGAAGTCGGACTACCCTGTCAATATGAGTTTGCAATCGTTGAACACTGAAGTAGGTGATTTTGACAGCTCAGTTCTTGTATTTTTAACACATATTCCAATTGGGGCTGGAATTAGTGTCCTGTCCCCTATACCCCGAGAGGGGCATTGCCCAGTAGTATTGTACAGAAGTGTTTTTATACGTTTTCAAACATTGACCATTCAGCAATATGGCGTCGACCGTTTAGGAAAGGGCAGATACCACAATTGCGTGGCGCAGTTGTAGTGCCTTGTTAATACCAAGGACATTATACACAGTATAATTACCAAGGACATTATACACAGTATAATTACCAAGGATATTATACACAGTATAATGACCTTGTTAATACCTTTGAAAATCCTTATTTTCTCATGAAAGTTTTGGTCTATTTTGAAAATTTCTGGACTGGAAGGAACAGGTAGGATCTACTCTTTCCTACTTCAGTCAAGTTTTGTTTATTTTACCAGTTCTGTGGGCGTAGTGAGAGATGTGAGTGGTTAGGTCTTGTCTGGCCAGGCGGATGGATATCATGGAAAAGTAGGTCAAAGTTGAGGTTTGTTTACTATCCTCAGCTGTGGCGGGAATTTGATCAGGTCGACCCCTGTTGTCCTTTTATATAATTTGGGAAGCAGACCCTTGTGGCTACCTGGTGTAGAAGAATTTTAGAGATTGAAGAATGGGAAAGCACTTTCATGAGGATCTCTTTTAGTGTATTGAAGCCTGTGTTCGTATGGCCAGATTTAATAGTACTGTCTGCCCGCAACGTGCATCGAACCTGTGCAATGTGGTTACGACATTGTATGGTACAATAACCAGTAAATTTACAATTAGCCAATGAAAGTTGTTTTTTGTGGTAGATAAATTGACGAGCTAAACAGTGAAAGTACATCTGTGTTGGTAGAATCCATTGGGAGCATTCGGGGGGATTATAGAGGTCAAAGGTCAGTATTAGAGATGGCAATGTCATGTAAAGTGTAAAGTAGTCTTTTTCTTGGGAAATGTAGTTGTTTTAGAATTGGATATTATAGGTAAGGGTTGTAGCATTTTTATTTTGTTGAAAAAAAAACAGACTTGCAGCAATGTTTGTTTTGCTTGGCTCGCTGAAGAAGATATAGGTTTACATGCGGTCATCAGCTGTCCAGAGGGGTGGTGGTGGGCACTTCTCAATATTCGGGTAGAATATATTCTCGCATTGTTTAGGTGCGTTGGATTTTTGGCGACGTGTCATGGAGGAGCCTGTTGGTACAGTATTGTGTGCAGTTTGCAAGAATTCTAGGAATCGTAGATGAATTTGGTCCACAGGCATGGGATTGTAGCAAATGAAACTCCCCCTTCCCTGCGTCAGCAAAATATGACGTAACACATAGAAGTTCCCCAGTGCTGAGTTGGCAAAACATTACGTCACTCAGTTACGCCCTATCCACGTGGAAGCGAATCGGAACCTAAATCATCCTTTTCGGCGTTATCTATGTAAATTACTTTCTTGACTTAAGACGAACTCCGAGACCGCGTGGTCAGTCGAGAGAACCGAGAGGAATCCCGAGGTCGACCACTGCGGTCCGGAGCCGAGCTACTTCCACGTGGGCGGCGTGCCAGCCATCTTCCTATACTTTGTAACTCTGTAAATGTAGTTAAGTCTAAAAGGTCTCAGTTGCCATCCCGGTAACGATCAGTATCGCGGCAAGCAACTGTTGCCGGTAAGTAAGTGCTTAAATTGTATTCCCCCTTTACCTTTCTGGACCAATCGCTAAATTGTCCCCTCCTGGCTGAATGTGTATCTCCCCTATTTTGTATAAGTGGTATCTGGTATGACTTTGTATTATGCTATATGTGTCGTGTGCGACTGGAACGAATAAAGTAGACTAAAGCGAGTCCATCGTTCTCCGGTGCCTTTCCGTGGTGAAGTTACTATAGCATAAGCCCAAATCTAGACCCGCTAGACCTACATGTGACAGGATGTCCACAGGAATGTCTCCCAGCTCTGTTTGCATCTATGCCCACATTCTTGGAAACCATTGAGAAGATCTCTCTGCCCCGGTTGCCTTACTTTCTGTGACCCCGGGGCTCGTTCACTATACACTAAGGGGAGGAGTGCACTTTATCTGTCTAGACTTACAGGTACCAAGGCTTCCTCAAAATAATCAAATCATGGCAGTAGTGTCATGCAAAAAATAACCATAACACCAACCACCGTCGCCATGGCAATGTATCTTTTCATTGCCAGTCTTGTTATTTTTTTTTGGGGGGGGGGTGGAGACTTGAGAGGTTGGACTACCCTGCCAATGTATGTTTTTCAAGGTCTAAAACTCAAGTATATGAATTTTGACCACGTTGTTTTGACATAATTCCCATACATTAACATGTTCCTCTATTTTTGTCTGGTGCCAGCCTTTCACACCTGGTTGTCGAAATCTTTCCCCGCTCCTTTGTTCATGGCCACCCTTCCGTGAGAGGACGGCGTTACTTGTCTGTCCGTAATTAGTGGTCATTGGAGATAAATGTCACTATTTTGTCTCATTTTGCTTGACGAGGAAGACAGATCGTCCCTACATACATGATCGGCTGTTCCAATCACAGAGTACCACGTCGCCATTTAAGGTCGCAGAACACAGTATTAATGGGCGACCCCGGGGATCTATGACGCAGATATAGAAAGTAGTACAGACAAACCTCTTGAATCCTGGCTAGTGCGACTTATGTGAGAGGTAGCGATGAGTGAACTGCGCTGTGTGGCATAGAAAGGTATCGGCTTGTACACAGTATGAGTCGGATTGTGAAGATTTCCCTGTTCGTGTATAAATGCGCGGCATTAGGCAACCGCGTTCCGGGGTGAGCCGGCTGCAGTTCCGCTGACCACGGTAGAGGGCCAAATTTAAAGTGGTCGTCATTATGTTAAAAACACTTTTTTTGGTTTTCAGTTGTTTTGTAGAATATACCGTATATTTCAACATATTAGTTGGCCGTGCTTAGCTCTAGGGCACCCTACTATAATTTTTACCGCGTCGAAGTGAGTCACCTTGGGGTGCTCAACTATAGGAATCCCCATAGGGCGAAAGCAGTGTTCTGCCACCTTACCATGACTCTCACTCTCAGCCACCTTTATGGCCGCACAACACAGTATTTATGGGCTAACCCCGAAGTCAAAAATAGTACGGGTATAAAGTAGTGATGAGAGAAAGGTGCAGACATTGTTCTGTGCGTGGCATCGAGATGGAACCTGTGGTAAATGTTAGAGGAATACGTCAGTTTTGAGACTGTAAAAGTTGAATTATGGTGCGTGTTCAGTCGGCGTAAATTTGCGCTTGGATACTTGTACCACCTAGTACTAGCTACAGTTCCATGACCTCCACAGTGGCGCTAATAAAAGAGGGAGTGAGAAGGGAACAAGCCTGCAAATCTGAGGTCATTTTCACATATTTTGTTCACTATACCCTCAAATTAAACATAAAAAATTCTGAACCTTGCTTTTGCACCCTACTTTGATTTTCAGTGAGTCGAAATGGGTCACTTTGGGGTCCTTAACTACAGAAATCCCCATAGGGCTAAAACTGTGTTGTGCCGCCTTATGCTTAATTATCACCCAATTCATGCTTTTAAAAAAAGCTGCCATTTCCTGGTTTATGTCTAGATCTATGAGAGATTTTCTCCAGTTTTTGAAGGAAAGACTTTTGGACTTTTGATTATTTTTCCTGCGCAATTTTTTCTCAGAAGGCCCATGCAGTTTTGTGATAAGGAGGACAGAATAAATTCTAACTAGAGAAGTAACATTTGCAAAGCAAATGCATAATGTTTACCTTCGTATATGGTCTGCTCTGTTAATTCTTACTTAAACACATTCACATACATGCATATGGTGACAGGAGTCTAAATGCCTACTATGAAATTGCAACATTTTGTAACCCAACACCAGTTACTATGGTGACAGACGTCAACAAAAGAGGCCATTGGCCAGGTCAGAGGGTAGTGTTTGGAACAGAAGAAGAAAAAGAAATGGAGGAAAAACAATATGTTTTTCTTCGGTAAACATAGAACAATATGACCTTTGGCATGAATTGCCCTTCCTGGCTGGATGGACTGATGTCAATTTCAAGTTCTCAAGTGCTGACCGCCTATCAAACTGATCTTTGCAGGTCGCCCGTGTCTGTTGACATACATCCATACCTGTGCTCACCTGTGTGGACTCCGGGCTTGTAACCATGGGAGCCATCAAATCGCTGTGGCAAGAATTTCCGACGAAACGTGTATGTACATGTTTTGTTTGCTTTTTTCGCACATTGTACATAATAAAGAATAAAAAGGAAAAAAAGTGGGGGGGGGGGCTATTGGGCTTCTATTGATCCTGACTCCGTCAGTGAATGACTAGAAAAGGTAACATTTTCAAAGAAAATGCATAATGTTTACCTTAGCATATGGTCAGCTCTGTTAATTCGTGCTCAAATGGATTCATAAAAAATGTCAGATAGGAGTATAAATCCCACCTACTATAAAATTGGAATCATGGAACACCTTTAGTGCACTATGCACCAAGTAACATCTAGAGTCAGTGCACAGTTAACCAGTCAGAATTGCCCTGATGAAGATGACAGACGGTCATCGAAACGTCGGCTCGTAAAAAAATGAATGGTTGTGATCAAAGAACTTTGCTATTCATTCGTTTAACAACCTGACGAAATTATTAACCGATGTTGTTTTGGTTTCAGGTTACAATTATAGGGCTTCTTATAGCGACAGCAGCTATCGGCGGCAGCACCAGGCAACCTTTTTTCCCGTTCCTCACGCACGACTTCTTCCCTTACCTGAACAGTAACCAGATAGGTACATCACATCCCACTTACTTTCTTACTTAGGCCACAGCAAGTAATTTTTATGGATTACATCAGCTCGCGCATTAATTTTTGTCTGGTTTTGGAAATAAAAACAAGAAATTTTATTGCTTTCTGACAGTGGTCAGTATGCCAAAAATGGGCAAAGATGTCCGTTGCCATATCGGAACATAGATGAAAGATTACGAAGAGAGGAGACAAGACAAGTCTATGGTTTCTTGTTCTGTCTTGTCCAACATAAACCAAAAACAATTCGCTGCATGCATACGGCTTTGCAGCTATCATTTAAGGGTTCCTCCAGACTTTAATTAACTTGACTGCGTTGACATCGCCGTCTTGCATTTCTTTTATATGCTTTAGGCCACACCAATTGAATTTGTTGGTTCTCGGATTCTTTCATAAAAATATGAAGCGACAGGGCAAAAAAAAAAAAAAAACAGGGTTAAGCATCCTCTTATAGCCCCAAATGCAACGATAGGAGCCATGAAGTCAACACAAAAGGCTGGGTTGATATTTAAACAATGAATTTTGAAGTTTTAATCTGCATTGATTGATGGAAAAACTGTAACAACTAGGAAGAAAATGACTTTTCTCAACTGTAGGGGGCAAAATATGAGCACTTTTTAGTTAATTCAGAATTCTTTTTCTTGCAAATCAGAAAAAAAAATTAAGAGGCGAATCCGAGAGCCAACAAATTAAATTAGTGTGGCCTTGGATAAAAAAAAAAGTTGGTAAATGAAGGTCCATCTAAAAATTTCAACGATCTCTATGTATCTTGGACAGGCTATTACACCGGGTTCCTGACAAGTGCGACCTTCTTTGGTACTTTTCTCGGCTGTTTTGTGGTAGGTTTGTTTGTTTTCTTGTTTGCTTGTTTGTTTGTTTGTTTGTTTTGCACAGCAGCTCACTTATGACACAAATACATTGACCGAAAACGAATATATCAGACATTAATACAACTTAAGTATTGCACAAATGATAAAAACATAGATATAACCAATATACTAAGATATCTTTTAAGATATCTGTTAAAACAGGTCAGAAAATACAAATAAACAGCCAATGATGAAAAATAATGACTAAAAGATGATGCAGGACAAAAATATATGGGTATATCTTATAGTGATACTTAAACTTAGTACATACGATATTTTCTGAAAATTACTGCTGTGGACATGGAAAAAACGTAACAGAAGCTACATGTACATATAAACTGACAAGAGAGTCTGCGACAGAAATCAGTTCATGGTGCCTGCAGACGATTGATTGATTTGTTGATTGGTTGATTCATTGAATAGTTGATTGACTGATTGACATAAATTGCTTTTTCAGTGGGGGAAACTGTCGGATGTGGTTGGCAGAAGGTAAGGCCAATATCCTTTTATCTACACACAATACATATGATTCAAGTCGACTGAATATTTGGTTGTGACTTACTAACTAAAGATAGACTATGCAAATTCTGTTAGTAACAATCCATGCATCGATGATGAATGTCATTTTATGCTTGACTGTAGATTATATGATAACGAACGTAAATCACTGTTCAGTTCAACTAGGCTCAATAAAAAATATCAACCATTCTCAAAACAAGACTCTTTTAATTTTATGATATAATGTACAAAATATAGATGTAATGAATGAAGTATATAAGTATGTTTCGAATTGTTTCAGAAAGAGGGAAGAAGCTAGCCATTAGAACTTAGATCAATACTATCATATATAGTTGTTAGCATTTTATACCTTAGATCAAATGTTAGCCTTTTATTATTGTTGTAATTTCTTTATAGTACGTGTTTAAAGTTAAAACTTTTGGTCCCACACAAAAAAATTCTCTCAGCTAGAGCTTTCGACCAGTCACACTGGTCTTCCCCATAAGACTGACCCAGTGAAGCTTGTCACGTGGCTTCTTTGAAGTGTGACGCCAACATTCGGTCAAAGGTATCTGGTAGATGATGTCGGCCCCCGTTGCGGTTTTTTCTAGTACATTGTACATTCATGTATTTTTCCCCTGGGGGAATGAACATGCAATGAAGATTCAATTTATACTAACCTGATTAACGGATTTTTCTTGCTGTGCAGACCGATTCTGCTGAGTTCAAACGCGACTCTGATGATCAGTATGGTGCTAATAGGCTTCAGGTGAGACCTCCAAACCGCATGGCTCAGGACTTGCCTAGCCTCTAACAGGATTTCGGTCTGGAAAGAGTAGAAATTGGTCAAAAAGGGAGACAATCAGTCTAGCAAAGTTCTTTGATCACAACCATTTATTTTTCACGAGCCGACGTTTCGATGACCGTCTGTCATCTTCATCAAGGCAATTCTGACTGGTTTATTGTGCACTGACGCTAGATGTTACTTGGTGCATAGTGCACCAAAGTTACCCTGATGAAAATGACAGTCGTTCATCGAAACGTCGGCTCGTGAAAAAAAAATGGTTGTGATCAAAGAACTTTGCTATTCATTCGTTTACCAACCTGATGAAATTATTTACGGAAGAGAGACAACATGTCGTGTGAGTTGGTCTGCTAGAGAGAACACTTAACTTTGCATTCTCTCTTGCAGACCAACTCCCTTGGATGGTATCTCTCTATTTGACCGTTTTTCACTCTTTCCAGCCGTCGCCCGAAGCTTGATGGAGGCTCGGCTTGTCTGCACTTTCACAATTTTGTTCGACCTTTTAGACCACATAGCTTTCGTGATGAAGGCAACTTTTTTGCCAAACTCTTTTTCAATCGCACTCTCGCGTCAGTTTTTAGGGTCCCAGGGGATGTTAGGCATATAATCAAATCAACATGGCCTTATCGTCTGATATTTGTCTTCGTGAGAAGGGTATATAATACAGTGCTCTCCTGTTATTTGCATGGACGATTTGTCAGGGAATTTTATTCCTATAACAGGTTTAGTCCAATAACCTTAGGAGAGTCCACACGACCGACAGGGAGGGGAGGTCAGTTGGTTATGGATGATACTGGGCTGGGGCCAATTGAAACAACCACAAACATGATGTTATTGGTATTTATATACTCACTTTCACCCACAACTACATACATGTACCATATTCTAATCTTCAAGTCGCATTCAGAAACTCATAATGAACAGGGCTAACATGGAGTTAGAAGATCTGCGACACATTCCACCTTCATACTGTCTACCCCTGTGTTGGACAAAAGCTTACCAAACCTAAAACAACAGCCCAATCAAGGACACCAAAAAGGAACAAAGAACTTCTTCACACAATCATCATTGAGTGATTGGGGGTTCTCATCTGTCAAGAAGGAAGTGACAACAGAGAAAGTGTAGATAGACCGAAACTTAAAACAACAGGAGGGTGGAGGGTGCAGGGGTGATAATGAATGAATAACAATGGACTTCATGCAGATTTGCTGATGCGCAACAAATTACATGTATTTCTTTCACGTACTTCTGGGTCAGTGTGCCATTGACTTGGAAATATTTTAGTCCAATATCAGGTTAAAGACATAACAGCTCATGCAATTATGCCATGCAATTTATAATGTAGTGAATGGGAAATGGTTTGGGTTTTCAGAATTTTATGCAGATCCCAGGTTTATGCCAATGTCAGTGATGCAAATAGTTGGTGAGCACTGTATCTGCTTAACTGCGGGAGACTGTGGATTTAGCGGCATAAGTTAGAGTCTCGTGTCCAGTCTAACGTGGTTGGGGCGGGTTCTCTTCGGGGCTGAAGAAGCACGTAACCGCCCGACTCAGCTTGGTTGCCGGGTAGGTTTTACACGACGGGAGTCAATCAATCAACTTGCGACGTGCAAAACTCCTTTTAAAATCTATCCTACCGGGTAGCCTGGTTGCCAGACCCATAGCACACCTTATATATACCAAAGGTATCTCAGTGTCATACCAGTGTGCCATGGGTCTAGGATCCAGGCTACTACCGGGCGGTCTGTTGAGCTGGGAAAAACTATTATTACTATAATACTAGAGCCCCGAAGACAGCCTATACCAACCACGATAGATTGGATACCAGTCTACATTCTAACACGTTCTTACCGATATTTTCTCCCAGTTTCTCCTTCCCATGGACCGTCTGCGTGCTATTTTTGGAAGGACTTTTTAACGGCACCGTCGTTGTGGCCAAGACATATCTATATGAGGTGAAGATAGTTTACGTTCTTGATTTTAATTTTTCGGTTCATGGTGCCAATTGTGCAGATGTTGGTACAATGGCGAAATAGTGGGGTCGTTTTGCGTAGCGGTAGCGTGTTATGCCCAGGTCCAAGACAAGAGGCCCCGGGTTCGAATCCTGCCCGGTGTCACCGATCTTTTGCCCTTAAGAAAGGCACTTTACACGACTTTCCTTACTTCACTCAGGTGTAAATCAGTTCCTAGCTTCGGTTAGGGACGTCCCTAGGATAGGACGTTAAATGGAGGTCCCGTGTTTGGGAGAGCCACAAACCACGCACGTTTAAGAACCCATCGCACTTATCGAAAAGAGTAGGGGACCTTCCCGGTGAGAGTGGTTCAAAACTTACAGACTGGTCTCAGGTTTGATATCTTGAAGAGGTGGTATTCCCCTGTTATGTTAATTTTCTACAAATGTGTTAAATCTTCGTTAAAAAAGTTTGTTTTAGGCACACATTTAGACAGATTAGCCAAAGAGGCTCAGTGGACGCCACTCCAACGTAAGGGAAAGGGGATAGTTTAAAGCGCCTTTCCCAACGGCACAACTTCTGGGCATGGTGAATACCGAACCCGGGACCTATTGGCTCCGAGTCCAACGCTCTAACCGTTGCGTTGATTCTAATTCAACACAGAACAAAACTACGTATTAGTCCACACAAACTTAATATTGAACAAGGCAAGGCAGACATAACCACAATCCTCTGTAGCAAGGAATCTGCCAATATTGTAATTTTGATAAAATTGAGTGTCATTTTGTTTCTGACATTACGCACATTATGTAAAATGAGAGGTAAAGCTACGGGACAGATAAATGAATGAATGGATGAAGAGGTATATCCCCTATATTTGTATACAAGCAAAGTTCTTTGATCACAACCATTTATTTTTACGAGCCGACGTTTCGATGACCGTCTGTCATCTTCATCAGGGCAATTCTGACTGGTGAAGCCCTGATGAAGATGACAGACGGTCATCGAAAGGTCGGCTCGTGAAAAATAAATGGTTGTGATCAAATAACGTTGCTATTCATTCGTGTAACAACCTGATGAAATTATTTGCAGATGTAGACAAGATAAGTTTGCCATTTTTAGACACATCTCAAATAACACGACCTCCGTACCGTGTTTATCTGTAGGTTTGCCCTCCGGAGTACCATTCATTGGCCTTTTCCATTTTCTTGGTGCCTAGCAACGTGGCCCAATTTGTGGTGAGTATGCCATCCACATGACACTATTAACGAGTATTAACAGTATAATACAGTCCAAGGGCAGAATTGCTGCAACAATGCAGTTCCAGTGGTATATATTTTTTGTATTTCAGCCTTCTAGACAACTACATGTACCCTTCGTTAATGTAAATTTGAGTCCTTTTATACTCTGATTCAATGTCCCTTTATGTTTGTAATTTTCCATTAGTCTTCCGGCATTAACTTGCAATAAAACCTTCTCTCTAATCATTACCGTTACGCTTCTACAGGGTCCTACACTGGGTGGATTTTTGTCCTGCCCAGCCACAAGATTCGAGGTGTTCGACATCCCGCTTTTCAAGCAGTTTCCGTACCTGCTGCCCTGCGCCGTAGTGGCGTGTTTGCAGTTCTGCATTCTGATAGGTCAGTCTGAGCGTGACGTACACGTCTCTGTTGCATTTGATTGGTCAGCGAACCATGATCGAACCCCCGACCGACCCCCGAAATATTTTGTTCCGCCATTTTGGAAAATTCAGCTGTCACAGTCGCCGAAAACCAGCCGTCTTTGTGCCGACCTACTTCCCATCTCCAGAATGCATTGCAAAAACAGGGGTCTAAACATCATTTGCATAGGACAGAAAGGCATCGGAATGATCCTATTGACTTTAAACAGATTGTTTTTCACTGTGTTTTGAGGCGTAGGAGCATTTTATGCTCAATATTAATTAGATTACTGTGGGTTGAATATGACAACAAATAGAGAATGAATTTTTTGTGTTCTTTTCAACATGGAACATGTGGTTTGTAACGTTACAGCATCAGTATAGCGTTACCACTATAACGTTACAAACCCCATATTAAAAAAAAATCATTCTCTATTTGTCGTCAGATTCAACCCATAGTAATTAACGTTGAGCATAAAATGGGCCAACACCCGTCAACAGGATCACTCCGATGCCTTCCTGTCCTATGCAAATGAGGTTTAGACCCCTGTTTTCGCAGGGCATTCTGGGAATGGGAAACTCGTGAATGTCGCGGGGGGGGGGGCGGCTGGTGTTCGGAATTCCGGTGGGCCAAATTCTTGAATGTGTGACAGATGCTTTACTCAAGTGTATTCTGCTGTCTCAAAGCGTGTTTTGCAATGTATACAATGCTGCCATCTAGATTATATTAAAGTGTGTCCAAACGTTAATGCTGAGGTAATATTTCCAAACATGGGCCAGCCGGGCAGTCTTATGGAACGAAGAGTATGATACAAATGACAGAAAAGCACAGAAAGTTGAAAAATTAACAATGGAAACTATTTGCGTATATTATTGTTGATTTTGAATTGGTGATTTTTCGTTAATCAAAACAGCAGGGTGGGACCCCGGTTTGGAAATGTGACCTATATACTAATAAACGTAATAAACCTTTTCACAATGCACAGTTGGCTGCCTTTTTCTGACCGAATCGTTGGGCAAAAAACTCAAAGAAGAGTACATCGATCTAACCGAAGTATCTACCGATTCGGAAGAAGATGGGGAAAAACGTGAGTAAAACTGCTTCGGCTACTTTTTATCTCTTACATGTCGTGGTATGTTCGACCCGAGGTGTATATGGTGAGATAATCCCTGAACGGGTGCGATAACCACCGAATAAACCACCGAGGGAAGTTTATTGTTGATGAGGTTGTTATCGCACCCGACCAGGGATTATTTCACCATATACACCGAGGATAAGGCGGGGCATTAACGTTATTATCATATACACTGTAGCCTAACGTAACATTCCTTTATCGCGGAAAAAAAGGCGATTAAACTGTTACGAAAAAACGATGTCACGTGAAATAAGATGGTGTGGACAGAAAAACAAAACATCTACAAGGTAATCATCTGCGGTGACCACGTGACATTGGAACAGTACCACTTTTAGTGGGGGTGTCAAATTATTTTTTGTATTTTTCTGTTTAAATTTAATTTATTTCATTTAATTGTACTGTATCAAAAAACATTCAAAATAAATTACAATATGCTTTAATAAATAAATACTACAAGTATGAAAACTACTGTTAGTGTCCTGTCCCCCGTATAATGGTACGGTCCAAAAAGCCATGGGTTATGGTCTGATAACCCATGGGAAATGGAGCCTCCTGATTGGTCGACGGCTACTGGGTATATTATAATTATTATCATTTGTCCCCCACAGGACAAGAGGACTCCATCACGGGCATTCTACGGGACAGACTGGTGCTGACCTCCTGCGTGGTTTACGCTATCTTTGCGCTGGCGAGCATCTGTATCAACCAGACGGTACGAGCGATTTAAAACTAGGGACGTAACATTTGCTAGTAACATTTGCTAGTGACATTTGCTAGTAACAGTTATTAGCATACTTGCTGCCTAGTGCACACTTTGTATTGTCATGTTGCAATTTTGAATAAATGAAATAAATAGATAACATTTGCAAAGCATAATCTTTAACTTCGGACATGGTCTGCTCTGTTAATTCTTACTCGAACACATTCATATACATATACATTCATATACATAAGCAAAGCAGACAATGAAATTGCAACATCATGTAACCCAACGCCTGTCATCATGGTGACAGATGTCAACAAATTATGTCATTGGTCAGGACAAAGGTCACTGGTTGGAGAAGAAGAAGAAACTGAGCAAAAACAATATGTTTTCCTTCGGTTTTCAGGCAAATTCCATTGAATTCACACACAATGTAAAAACCATTATATCGGAATCAGTATTATAAAGTTTTCATCTGGATGTTATGGATATCGCTCTTGACAGAATTGGTTGGAGGGACCTGACGGAGGGGAGCAAGGGGCCAGTACCTGGCCTTGGCACTTAGGCAGGGCAGGTAGGCAGGTAGGCAGGTTATGGATAGTTTTACCAAAAACTTTTAATAGGCTCATGACAATAAACTTCTTATTAATTCTGAAACCGTTTTGTTCCCATCCTGCAGTTGTTGGCCCTCCTGCTGGTTTCTGACCCCGACCATGGCGGATACAGCTTCGGTCCTGCAGAGGTCTCCGTCGTCCTGACCACGATCGCCGTCTACGGCACCGTCACGAAGGTATTCATATTTTATTCCATACCATAGGAATGGATGAAATATATTGTTTTCTTTCATTTCTCTCCTCCTCCTTCTGTCATTTCTTTAAATGGATTCAATTTCTCGATTCTTGGGCCAAATGACCTAAAGTTTGGCATGGAGGCAGAGTGGCCAAATGCAGACGTTTCTAGTTATGTTTGCCTTCGCATGAGGAAAACATACTGTTGCTCAGTTTCTTCTTCAGTGTCAACTTAGGTCAATGGCCTGGACCAGACGTCAGTCACCATGGTAACTACTGCTGTAGCAGACACCCTGTGGTGAGATTAAGATGATTGATTTCTTCTGTGATTCTGTAATTTCTTCCGTTGATTTCATCTCTCTCCTGAAGGCATCGATAAACCCTTACATCGCGTCCAAGTTCACCTACAAGACGGTGTACGTGATTGGACTTGTGCTGTACGCTGTGGGAATCTCCTTGCTTCCGTCAATGTCCGGCATCACGGGGGTAGGAGCCGTGGCGAGTCGCAAACTCTCAAACAAAACAGCGTCCTCTAGCGACTTCACACTGAACTTCACTACAGCTGAACGCATCTCGACGACGTCACCACAAGTGATGACGGAAGGTTACTTACAGAAAGCGGCAGAAATGAACGTGACAGCCGCGAGACCGCTTCCCGGCCAGTGTCGCATAGCAGACGGAGACAAGACGGAGACCTCCCAGCCCCCGGCCTCAGACCTACTCGCCAGGGTCTGGGCTCCACTACTGTTTGTAGTGTTGGTGATGGAACAGGGACGGTAAGACACTGATCAACACTACTACGGTTTAAACAGCCTCCAGTTTAATTTGGGACTTCCAGTTTAATTTGGGACTAATTCCCATATCTCAGCAACCGTACATCTAGATAGGCTAATGCCGTAAACTATAGATAAAAAATTGTATAAAAACTATGTAGCAGTCATCGAGCCAAAGTCTACTAAAACAACCTCTAGTATAATTTGGGAATTCCAGTTTAATTTGGCAGAATTCTGGGGAATTTGGTTTAATCTCCACGCTACCTTGCGTGTTTTCATCAAACAACAATTAAATGTAGATTAAGCGAATCGTGATCGGACACGGTTTGAAAGGAACGTGTGGCATGTGGACCTGAGGTTTCGTGTGAACAAGGCCAAAGCCAATTAGACATAGCTCTATTCTCTCTGTGATTCATGAGATAAATGCTTTTTTACATCTTTCAGCGCATTCTCGTTCCTGGCCGGCATGGTTCTGGTAGGAAACGCCAGTGTGGTGAGTACTGTACCTCTTACCAAAGATTATCATACGTTAAAATACGAATGTCACGCTACTGGCCTGCTGGAAACTGCCCTTCCTGGGGTGTTGCTTCCAGGAAAAAGAGGTCAATGCTTGTTGGGGTGCAAAACAACACCAAAAAAAAAAAGCTGACTTCGGGCTTTGCATACCTCAACTTTATAACCGTCACAATACTTTTTTATGTCTGTAAATACAGCAATCCAACCGGGGGACGATCAACAGCATAGCGCAGATTCTGGCGTCACTGATGCGGCTGGCGGGACCGGTGACGAGCGCCAACCTGTTCGCTTGGAGCAACGATAACGGTAGGATATCCTGAAAGTTCATCTGCGTTGGTAGAAATCATAATAAAGCAAGTTTAAACTGTAGTTTCCAACACAACAAATTGGACTCACCCACATTTTTGACTGTACAACTCCAGTCTTTGTCAAAGAATCCACCGCTTCCATGACGTCACGCAGATAACACACGTGACTCCGTGAGCAGTGGAACATAGGTTGCAAAAAGCCAAACCGGACTTCTTTGCACGAGGGATTGAAGAGGCCATCTACATCTGGGCATTACAACCATCCCTCAACTGAGACGGGGGGCGCCACAGACTTTCTGCAACCTATGATCCACTGCTCACGGAGTCACGTGTGTTATCTGCGCGACGTCACTGAAGCGGTGGATTGCTCATTCTTTGACAAAGGCTGGAGTTGTACAGTCGAAAATTTGGGTGAGTCCAATTTGTTGTGTTGGAAATTACAGTTTAAACTTGCTTCATAATAACGTTAGGATGGCAGCTCTTTCTCGGCTAAACCCCGTTTTGCTACTCGAAACAAGGGTTTTCTTTTACACAACCAAATTATTTACCTTGCTGACAGACACCGAAACGCCAGCAAGGTAAATAGTTTGGTTGTATAAAAGGAAACTCTTGTATCCTAAACTTTACCAAGCTGATGAAGCTATTTTCGGACTGCTACTGCTAGGGAAGCAAATTGCCTTTTAGTCCTAAATACTAAAAGCTTCTTTCCTAGAACTACATTACCATGGAGAAAGTTTTTGTTTATATTCCAACATGTAATTACAAGACGTGGTGACGGCGCACTCAAGTTTTTTCAACTTATATTAACCCTATCTAGACCGGGCTTTTTTGAGCAAGATTTGACCGGGGGGGGGGCTCTTTCGGCCCCCCCTCAGAACTCGCTAACGGTATGTCGTATGGCTACCAAATTTTCAGAGGATGGTGTACTAGTTAAAATTTATCATATCTACAATTTTGATGTCATTAGGACGTAATATGACGTCATTATGACGTCATTAATGGGATTTTATTGGCCAAAACCGTCTAGATAGGCTATTCCCTGAAAACTAAATGGTATTCAACATAACTTTACCAAAAGTGTTTATGACAGAATATTAGAGTGTACTAAGTCTTATGTTGCCCATAGCAACACCGGTGACGTCATAAAATGACGTCATACATATTTAAGATATCCGCCATCTTGGATCATCAATGTTGAATTTTCAAAAATAGTTTTTTTTCGTGATAAAGCCTAAAATACATTGTAAACATACCAAAGACCTTCATTTAAACCTTTTTTGGAAAAAGAAATGGAAGTATTGATGAAATTTTAAGGAAAATAACTTGTATATACCTGTTCTAATGATATGGTCCGCCATCTTGGATTTTGGCCAATGAAGTCATCAAATTAGCATAAATTGTGCATATTTAATGATAAAATTTACATAAATTCATATGGGATGTTATTAATATTAGAAACCATGAGTAACTTGACATAAAACCCATAAAATTCTATTCTTGAAACAAAAATTACTAAATTTAGCAAAAAATGCCTGTCAGAAACCCGTTGCCATGGCAACACAAAAAAATTATTATCTTATTCCAATGATAGAAAATTGTTGCCAACAATATTTTAGGAAAAGTCACCAAGTTTGGTCATTCTAGCCCTAGCCATTCAGACGCTATGTGACATCAAAGTTGGCGCGGGCACTTTTAGCCCCCCCCCGGTCTAGATAGGGTTAATGCCGCCACCAACACAAGGGACAATACAATACTCATTTTCACCCGGGCGAAGTGAGGAAAGTCGTGTTAAGTTCCTTTCCTTGGACATAAGATCGGTGGCATGTCAGGACTCGAACCCGGGAACTTTTGGTTCCGAGTGGAGCACTCTTCCGCTACGCCACTGGAACAAGCTTCCCAAATGGGTACCACCGAAAGATCTGCTTAGGGATTAAGGAAAGTCGCCAGTGCAGTTATCTAATCGGTTTTCAATCCGACAGTTTTTCCTTTCCTTTGTTGACAGGGCTGCCCTGGCCGTTGGATCACCATCTGGGTTTCTATGTGGTGGCCGTTCTGTGCCTCCTGATGGCGGTCCTCTGCGCAAGTTTACCGGCTTCCATCAACAAGCCCAGGATCGCCCTGGACAGCCCGACAGCGTCGGAGGGAAGCGACGGGGGGAAGGGCCAAGGGAAATAAGAAAAGAAAGTAAGTATGCATCTTAGAAAATGCCATAGCAAGGCTAGCCTGGTGTCCAATCAATCGTGGTTGGGGCATAGTAGTTGGGGCAGGCTGTGTCCTCGGGGCTGTAATAGTTTCGCCCCGCCCAGTACAATAGGCCGTCCGGTAAGAGTCTTACGCTAACTGATAATGAGAAGGCACGCCGGGGAGTTGATTTGCCCCATCACTATCGTCTATTCGTCTAATCAATCTCCCATCGTAAAATACCTACCGGAAAACCTAGCTGAGGTGGGCGGGAAAAAGTCCTGGAAAACAGCGCCAACATCTCCATGGCCAGGTCCGAGGAAACCCTGCCCCAACCGCGATAAGACTGGATTCCAGTCTATCGTGGCTGGGGAAGGCTGTTTTCCCCGTCCAGCTCAACAGACCTCCCGATAGGAATGTTACGCCTGAAGGATTTTTGCACGCCAAGAGTTAGTAGCCCCACCTCCCGTAGTGCAAATCCTACCGGGGAGCCTACCTGAGTCGGACGGGAAAGAGCTTCTGCAGCCGCGAAGAGGTTCAGCCTCGTCCGCGTAAGGTGTAGGCCTTGGTGTTTTTCTTATTCGAAAAAATGAGACCATTTTCAAACAATGTTACATAGACACGGTGACAAAGATATTCTTTTTGGTGGCCGACCAATGGGTTTGAGTAGGTTGACAGCACATGGGTTGGGACGATTGACAGGAAGAATGGTAGGCCGTCTAAAGGCCAGGCACAAGAAATGGGTGTGAACAAGAAGGTAACAGAAACAAACTTGTACGGCTGATATGCATCCATGTATTACATACTATAAGGTGCATCCGTTTTATGATCCTGAGTTTCTTACGTCTCCCATATTTCTTCATTACAGAACCACTGAAGGCGGGCATGGAAATGCGAAACCAGGAGCAACAATATAAGCAATATGGACATTGTTTGATTAAAGTACTTTGTTAAATGTCTTGTAAAAAAGGAGACCAACATTTTGAATTTTGAAATGGTAAAGGATTCACATAACTTAAGATATATAATTCAATTTGTTCCAAATTTGTGTCGCCTGTATATGATTAAAATTGTTGTTGATTTGATTTGACAGTTATAAAGAAGACTGGCCTTAGATAATGGCTTTGTCTTCTTTTGTGTAAATATCTGAGTTTAAAATATGGTGTCATAGCTGGATTCCGAAAGACAGAGATATTTGTTTGTTATTTCAAACATCAACAAGATACATTAGGACTTTTCAGCTTTTTCAACAAAAGAAGCATTAGGGGAAATGCACTTCTGTTTATGTCATATTTACATTAAGTATTTTTTTAGCTTTTTAAGCAAAAGGAGCACTAGGGGAAATGCACTTCTGTTTATGTCATATTTACATTAAGTATTTTTTTTTAGCTTTTTAAGCAAAAGGAGCACTAGGGGAAATGCACTTCTGTTTATGTCATATTTACATTAAGTATTTTTAAAAACTTTTTAAACAAAAGAAGCACTAGGAAAAAATGCACTTCTGTTTACATTAAGTATTTTTTAGCTTTTTAAACAAAAGGGACACTAGGGGAAGTGCACTTCTGATGCTATTGTAACGTACCATTTTTAAAAGAGTGATTTAAGTGATGTACTAGATTACGGACTCGCACATACAATATTGCAGTATGCAAGATAGGGATAAACGAGATTACAATATGGAGTAATAAACGTTTTAGGGTAATGTTTTTTCCTACTTTAGTCTGATCCAAATATTCACAAATATATATCTATCTATCTCACTCTCTATATATATATGTATCTATATAATCTGTATCTATATGTATCTATCTATATATTGTTTAATTTGTTTTTAAAGCCTAAGTACGTAATTCAGCGGTTTTATACGCTGCCATGTACCTGGAGTGTTGTCAATAAACTATTACATCTATCCTTCTATCTATATCTGTATTGGTACATTAACCCTTATATCTATATCTATCTATTTTTCTCTCTCTCTCTCTCTCTCTCTCTCTATATATATATATATATATATAGTATATATATATATATATATATATATATATGTATGTGTGTGTGTGTGTGTTTGTGTGTGTGTGTGTGTAAATGTATCAATTATGTATTTTTACGTTCTAAGATAATTGATTTTGGTTAAGCCATTTATTTACTCTATACGTCTATTTATTCATGATGTTTACTCATGTGTTAAGATTTCTATGTGCAGACGACACAAATTTATTCATGTATATGAATAAATTTGTGTCGTCTGCACATAGAAAAGCAATATCAGTGCTTAATCGTTTATATAGTTTAGAAACAGAAGGGGTAAGATAGATAATTGAGGGACGCCGCATGAAATTAAGTTTTGACGTGGAGAATGTTAAAACTCCCTCCATGGCAAAGTTCCTTCCGCGACTGACTCCCTTCTGGGCAAATGTAGAGGGGTAACGGTACACCCTCATAGCGTCACCAAATGAGGTACTTTGTAAATGTCTGTTTCATTTGGTATATATTACAATTGTGGCAGCATTTTATACCCCAAAATAGGAATCTTGCGTCTTGTTTTAGGTTCCGATAGTAGAAAGATTGCAGTGTACATGTATACAGATCGCCGCCGTGTAACGTTACGTACTAGCGAGCGCGCACGACAATACCACCCGAGTAGAGTAGGTTATCACAACCCCTTAGAAAGACACAAAGAAAACAGAAACGACCGATTTGCACTGAAGAAAGTTTATTTTCCGTAGCCTGGGCTAAGCCACGATCTATACCTTCTCCACGGGCGCTGGGGACGAGCGTGGTTGTTGCATTTTTCAAGAAAGGGCATGCCTTAGTCTTATAACAAATACTGACTACTGATACAGACATTGCGATTTCCGACAGAAATAGATTTCTCTCCTGTTTATGTCTTGGACAGAATTTTGGTCCCTAATGTTATATCCACGGCGCCTGAAATGTGGGATACACGAGAACTTCATCCTACATATAGGCCGGGTTGTGTTCTGGGGCAAGGTCGGGAGAAGGTCGTGAATGAAGGGAGGAGTCTATATAATTGGCTTGCGCTTCCATACTACGGAGTATCGTATTGAGGAACATGAAAAACATACATCGATTTTGCATACAGAGAAGCATAACCAGATTGTCTTCCTTCCTGACATAAATATATAACCTACTCGTGCTTTCACCTGATTGATCCATGTTTAACCAACCAGATAACTTGAAACCGTTGACGTAAGATAACCTCTTCTTGGAATCCCCAGCAATTTTGTCTCCTGAAGATGTGAATATATTAATGGCTGGCGTCTTCATTTTGCATCTGAGACAGACAATCTATGGCATTGATTTGAACAGAAGAGGCCCATCTGTAGGAAGCTAGGCAACAGCAAAACATGTGGTGTTTCTATCAAACTCTCTATATAATGATAGCCATGCACATGCAGATGCTCCATAAAAGTAAATTACGACTAATATATAAAAATCCACATTTTTGCAGTGTCTATTGTTAACATAGTTTTATTTTACACGTATCCCAGTTTCTTACAGATGATGACGTCACTAAAAGTTCAAGTTCTGGGGACGGTTCACTAACATCACTGCGTTGGTACTGATGGTTTTAGGTATGTTCTTCTGGAGGATTTTTTTGCTCAAACAGAAGAGGAAGAAGCCTTAGTTTAAATAGGGTTAGGTTATAGTTTTCATGGTTATAATTACATCTTATTCTGGCTGCCGTCCTACTATATTTTTTTTTTTACAAACTTGGTAGCGAATTCTATTGTTCGAAAACGCATAGGTCATTCATAGAAGACACTTTAAACTCAACACTCGTTCTCGATTTGCATTCAACGTTACATATACATCTACATTGTTCTGTTAAAACTTACACTGTGATAACATTGTCTTACTTTGAAACAAATTTGCAAACTAGTACATTTCATTTTTCTCAGTTGTTGTCCTTAAATGATTAGTGCTGCAATTTTACAATCTACAGTATTTACACAATTGATTTTGTAACGCATAATATGTAAATACTACATGGTTCATACTACAGTGGTTAAAACCAAAATGGTATGGCTATATCAACATCCACAGCAACCCAAATACAACAACGTTATGTAACAACATGATTCAGTCGTCGTCTTTTCCATTTTGGCTATGTAAATGATTTAAGTGAAGAAAGCATCCATTGCCTAACTGCTTTATCAAAGTAAATTGTGATAGAATCCTGACTTAGACGTGACGGTCACAAAGTCTGTTGGTTGAAATATGTATTGAGACTTTGTTCTATATGCGAACGCAGACTACACAACGAATCGTACATTCTACATAAGTAAGATAAATAATACATCCAAAAAGTAATATATACTAATGGTGATGCATTCAAAACGTAATAATAATAATGGTTATCACGTCCATCGTCCATGGGATGGTATGCTTACATTATTGTCAATGTTAGTATTTGCACAAGCTACTCATCCTATAGCGCAAATGTCAGTCCTTCTCGCAGGCGCAGAAGGCCCCTTTGACGAGTCAACTGAAAACAGCCTTTTTCTTGGCATGTGTGCATAAATGCTGGTATTTTCCAGCTGGAGAGTTCTTTTTCTTTTCTTTTTTGTTTAAAAAAAAACCTGACGTTTACCCTTCTTTTAACTGCCTGGGCGAGCTCTAAAAGTATCCCATCTTGTTGTTTTTGGTGGTGTACAGGGGTCATGATTTCAGTGTTTCTATCTCTTGTTTCTGTACTTATTTCTGCCGGTCAAACTAAGCTATTTTTAAAACTAAATGGACAAAGTTGGACTACCCTGTTGGACTACCCTGTTTGCAATGGTTGAACACTCAGGTAGGTGATTTCTGCCAGCTCAGTTCTTAGATATTCACCATATATTCCAATGTGGTTGGAAATGTGGTCTGTCCCTTACATGTACCACTGCTTGTGTTTGAGATAGTCTTATTACATAATGACTACTGATACGGACATTACAATTTCCGACAAAGAAAGATTTTTTTTCTCCTTTTGTTTTGCATTTTACTTGATTAAATTTTGATGCCCCATTTAATATCCATTGCAGGAAAAGTGGGATTCACCAGAACTTTATCCGACACAGGTCGGTTTGTGTTCGGGGGCAAGGTCGGGAGAAGGTTGTGAATGTGTGGCAGGAGTCTTATTGGTTTGCGCTTCCATCATACGGTCCGCAGTATCGTATTGAGGAACATGAAAAACATACATCGATTTTGCATACGGAGAAGCATAATCAGATTCACCGCTATAACCTGCCTGGGAGTCAACCTGTGCGCTCTGCAGCTGAGAGATGTCAACCTGGTGATTGTTTACAACGTAGCCAGCCGCCATGTTGTTCCCCTGGCTAGCCTGTTTCTTAGACATTGCACAATAAACAGCTAATATCAGACCTGACAGGGCAACAATCCCTCCAACAATAATACCAGTCAGCATCCAGCCTGACACCAAGGGACTGGGGTGTGGAGAGGACAGAACTTGTGTCTGTGGAGACTGACTGAATTTCAAGTTCTGGGTTGTCTGCTGATTTAGTTCTGTCTGCGTTTGCTTTGGTTCAAAACTTATTTCAAAACTTACGTCTTGGGTTGTCTGCTGATTTAGTTCTGCCCGTGTTTGTTTTGGTCCCTCACTTGTCTGTGTGAAAAGTTTTGAGCTGCTAGCTGTTGTTGGCAAGAGGGTAGTAGTAGAGACTTCGGTCTCTAAGGGACTGGGGTGTGGAGATGACAGGAATTGTGTCTGTGGAGCCTCTGTTATAGGCATGGCCACTGACTGCACACTATACAATTCTCCCGGTGTTGGTAAAAACATTCCTTTCAAGGTTTCAGTGCTCACGTTCTGGGTTGTCAGCTGTTTTAGTTCTGTATGTGTTTGTTTTTGTTCAGAACTTATTTCAAAACTTACTTTCTGGGTTGTCTGCTGATTTAATTCTGTTTGTGTTTGCTTTGGTTTAAAACTTATTTCAAAGCTAACACTCTGGGTTGTCTGCTGATTTAGTTCTGTTTGTGTTTGCTTTTGTTTCTCACTTGTCTCTGTGGATAGTTCTGAGCTGCTAGTTGTTGTTGGTGGCAAGAAGGTAGAAGTATAGGCTTCAGTCTTTACTCCGGGGCATGTATGCTCAATAGGACAGGGACTGTATCTTATTTGAGGACAGTGTGAGATGCCTAATTTCCAGAGTTCCAATCCCGCTAAACGCGGAGGTGTTTCACACCGGAAATTTTCCAGATCTTTCCACATCTGAGGTTTGATGGGATTTTCGTTATCAAAGAATTGCTTACAACAATCGCACATTTTTTTCCGGCACTTATTTACGATTTTCGCCAGTTTGATGGCCCACGATATGCTACAGCTACAGTAAAGAGGGTTACCCTCTATTGACAAATTATATTGCACAAAATGTCCCAAGTGATTTTGTACCTGCAAACTCATGTCCCACCCAAGATCACACTCTGACAATGTCATCAACCTGTTGTAAGAAATGTTCACCATTTTTAGGCGAGGGACGAAAAACTTAACAGCGAAAAGCTTGACACAAGACAACTGATTATGTGACAAATCTAAAGCAGTTATTCCCCGCATATGCTTAAGGCAGTTCCACGGAAAGCATCTGATTCTATTGTTCCTTAGGTTAAGTATTTTCAGGTTAAACAGGTTCAAACCAGCACAGGAAAAGGAAGTTATGGCGTTGTTTGGTAACTGAAGTTCAGCCATGTTTTGTGGCAGTCCTTCAGGGACACTTGTCAAACCGATGTTGTCACAAGCTATCCTTGGTAAATTATATTTAGATACGTAATGATAATCTGTAATTTTACATCCTTGAGTTTGCAGTTTTCTCATGACGTTGTTCGGTGCTTCTTTGCTTGCGACGATCTGAGTGGCAAAGGTCAAAACCATAGCAACGGTCACGACGTAATAAATGCGCTGGCGTGCCATGGTAATTTGGGTGACAAAATTGAACAAGAATTCAGTATGGAAAATGTTTCTGTAATAGCTTCAATGTCACGTAATCTAGAGATGCCGCCCTTCCAATCAAAGATATCTCAGGATGTTACAATGAAAATACCAGTTAGTATGCCTGACAAAGATTTTCTCTAAACGTCGCTGTTAAAGGCTGAATGATGTTGACACCTGGTTACACCTGCCTCTTGCTCCATGGACCAGACGTCTCAGGTTTTCTTCACCGAAACGCTTTCTGTTACCCTGAGAAAATTAGAAGAAATACATTGTTTTTTCATGCTACATAATAACCACAAACATCGATCAAACTCATTAAAACATGAGAACGTAGATAGCCATTCTAACCCTTCTCGAGACCCACTATTTTCTTTTATTCATTAGACGGCAACGACTTGATTTTATGGATGACATCCTCTGAAGACCCCCAAACTAGTGCGCGCGGTGAATAAAATCAAATTCCGGCCAAAGATATTTTAAAAAAATGCTACTAAACCACTGGAATACAAAGCTCAGATATTATGAATTTGCGGTAATACATAGCGACGTATACAACAGGCTGGCTTTTTCCGGAATTCATAAATCGGCACTGTGCGTATGTACTAAGATCTTGAGTCGTGGAGCTTCGGCAGCCTGGATGCTATCCTCCATACCATCCGAATTATCGCTACATAGCAAGCTACAATGGACTACCCTCACCTAGAGACATGCCAGAGCCTCGGATGACGTGATATTTTTTGTGTGTGTGTGTGGGGGGGG